AAGGGAGGCAGAGCCAATGGATAAAGTGTTGGAAATGTTAAAACGAAAGCACAAAAATGAACTAGCTGCAGATGACAAGTGGGTACGATGAAATGGGAATAAAATATATAAATTGGAATAAAAAGAGTGTTCATTCACTAGACTATGGAAATGAACTAGCTGCCGATGACAAGTGGGAATGAAATGAGTAATAAAATGGACTGCACAAATTAACTAGCTTTAGTTGATCGATATTCATAGCTAGAAAGTGAAAGACTGCCCGACTGGATGATACACTGTATCTCAATTCCGGAGGACACAAGGATAGTGTCATAAACTTGATTTATGCAAAGTATATACAAAAAACTGCATATCATTTTTGTTGTATCTAGTTCGGATAGTCAGAATATGCCTTAAAAAAAAGAAAGTCAAGAGTCCCCAATTGGAAGATCTACTGTATCTCAATGCCAGAGGAAACGCGGGAATCTATCCACGAAGTATAATTATCCTGATCTATGTAGAGTATACAAGAGCCTACATTATATATTTGCTTATATCAATATATCTTGACGAAACTAAGCCCAAATCTGCTTCTTATATGTATGCAAAATCTTATCAACATCGGGTCACAATATCATATAGCTGCTATAGGAACGATTGGTCAAAAAGTAGTTTCTTACTTGACAGAAAATTCAGTTTTCAAAGATATTTTCATCAAACTCAGCTCTTACGAGCTTCACTATCACTCACATATCTGCAAAAGGGAAATGTACCTAAGGGTATTAGATCTTTAACTGCTAAAAAGATCTACATATATCGAATTGCTCTCAGTAAAAATGTAAATCAATTGCAATTGGTTAATCGTAATTGTTAGCCTTAGTCAGATCATTTTTAAAGTCTCGAAAATCTTCTCAATATATTTGTTAAAGGCTTTTCTCTTACAAAAAACTTTCAAAGCAAATTGCATGAAGAAAACTATCAATTACTTTATACACAAGGGCACAATTCCTCCCGATGCCCCAATGCGAATTTGTCGTTTGGTTGAAAAGACAAAATTGCACTCAACTAACATGCATGTTAAATGAATTGCAATTGTTGTCAATTTCAATTAGACGGCAACTTCACACTGATTCAATAAATTTTACGAACTTGGCTGGCATGCCACATGCAACAAACTGTTGTGTACAAAATGCCAAACTAGCATGTACATATATCAATCATCCCATATGTAAGCCTCTTTGTGTGTGTGATTGGGGGTGTGTGTGTGTGTGTGTGTCTTTGGGTGTGTGTTTTTATGTGTGACTTGCAAGCTGCTAGCTATCTCAAGATTACAGTGTGAAACGAGAAGCTGTCAGCCTAACGAAGCATCACATGACAGAACATGCAGACGCACTCACACACACACACACACACACACACACATACTTACGCCCACACATACTTACACACACACACATACTTACACACACACACATACTTACACACACACATACTTACACACACACATACTTACACACACACATGCTTACACACACACACATACTTACACACACACACAAACACACACAGACACACACACACACTCAGTCAAACATACACACATGCACATACAGTAAGTTGCAGGTTGAACAATTTGAGAGCTCAGAAAATCTGTGAAAATCTGTTGGCACTTTAACGCATTTTACTCTTTGGCCTGCATTTGGCAATTTGCTCGTTGCCCACGTGCGGAACGTGAGCACGTGAGCACAAGAGCGACAGCAACGGCAACAGCGATGGCAGTTTGCTGTTAGCACATAAATCATGCATCAATCATTCATCATCAATCACGGGACAGACAGCAAAGTCGGCAATAGTACTTGCCATCGGATAGCATAGAACCTACTTGGTAGCCAGTTGCAAAGCTCGTTACTAGATATTTACGAGTAATTTGAATGCCTGCATGTCACGGGCTGAGGGCAGATCCTAATCCTACGGCATCAGCATGGGCTTATGTGCGTATATGTAACACGAGGCCGAGTCATGTGCCTGTATGCTATTCCAGGCGAAAGTGTTGCAGAGCTCTTGATGAGCCACAGCCTGATGCCATAAATTATGCAGACACGCCACGCTGACATCATATGGCTACCAGAATTGAGGCGCTTCTTCCTGCGTCGTGGCATTCTGACATGTTCTCCTGCCACCCAAGGACGCCGAATTTCAAACTCCATTCTATGCGCTCTTACATCAGCAGCAGCATTCCCCAATATTGTGCAGGCGAAAAAATGCGTTGTGCAACTGCTAAGTGCATAATAAAATTTTATTATTTTTCAGCTTAAAGCGGAAATGAATGTCGTGCATTAAATGTGCAACACACTCGCACACACACACACACACGCTCACAGCTGGAGCTTACACACTTGGCTGCAATGGCGAATTTGTGCAGCAGCATAAGAGTCATACACGTAAACGCAATAGAGATGGCACTAACTGCGATAACCGAAAACCCTTTGTTATGTTGATATTAGTGGATTTTTTTTTTTTTCATTTTTGAAGTACTTTCACACTAATATCCTGTTCAGATTAAGGTTAGGGTATCGATAAATAATAGTCATAAAGGTATTTGGTTGGGTGCTCGATTAATGATAATTATAAAACTTAAATATTATTGTAATTTCAAACTTAAACCGGTTCGGCATTGGTCAAATAAACTAATAATAAACAACCATAATTAAATATTTTCTAGTAGTTCCCTAGAGCCCGAGACCCTTTAGAGTATGTACATACAAATGTGTATATATTCTTGAATAGTATCGACAGCATGTCTGTCTGTCCGAATGTCTTTTCTTGCCGGTGCATAAAGAACAAAAATTTTGTTATCCAGAATAGTTTCATCAAGCTTGGCATTTACGATTTTCAGCATGAATTTAATATAAGTATAAGCTAAATCCTATCAACAGACTACTTTTTATAGGAAGAATTGATCAAATAATGACTTGTAGTATGAATAACTTTTCTGTTATTCAATATAACTTCATGTAATCCATCTCCAACGAGTTTCAATGTTATCCTAAAATATCTGCAAAACTGTATCAAAGTGGGCTTCTTTGTCATGGGACAGAAGTAAAGCTTTAATACAAATCACTTCTCATAAGTATTTATTCTTCGATTTTTTCTTTTTATACCCTGAACCCATTCAAAATAGGTAACAAGGGTATTATGTATTTGTGCAAATGTTTGTAAGTGGCAGAAGGAAGGATCTCCAAAACCATAATGTATATATATTCTTGATCAGCATCAATTGCCGAGAACCTATAAGAGCTAAAGGCATCCAGTGCCTGCGCAGATCGAGTTTGTTTCCGATATTCGATACCTTTCCCCATTTCTTAGTAATCGATACAAATCGATATCGACATCCTGTTTTTTGAGCAAATTGGGTAAATATTAAGAGCTAGACTCACCAAACATGATATCTTGCTTCTAAAATATTATATATATATCAAGTATCTCTTTTTTTTTTTTTGAGAATACTCAAATATTTCATAGTACAATAAGATATACTGTCGCGATGCTTCGAATTCAATCAACAATTACAATTGCGATTGTTTTTGTGATGCTATTTTAATTCGTTTTTATTTATTTTTTTTCAATAAGACTTAATTATCGCGCGTTGCGCGAACTGCATTTGGTGTTGGAATAACAGACCTCAAGGTATTTCCTAGTTGGTTATTTATCTTTATTCTTTTATTCGTGACACGATCAAACGCTCATCTCTGAAACAAGAGATCACGCGTGCACACGTGTAAACACACACTCAAACAGACACACACATCCACACACTCAAACATATATGAGTTGAGCTGCTGTTGCTCTTGCTGTTTTTTCAACAATTCTGCAGTTTGCCCCAAGTAAATGGCAGCAAATTGCATTTTAATCACATTGTTGTCATGGTGTGCGGCATTCGGGACATGCAGCCATCAGGCAAGACCGTTAGATGTTATAGTTATCAAGACATCCATTTAGCTCGTGACGCAACCCATACTTAAGGGTCGCTTCAATTGCAGCTGAGAATTGCTTGATGCTCTTACTGAAGGGTTTCGGATAACAGAGTCTTGTTTTGTGGCTTCATCAGCCATCGGTTGTCCTCTTCAAATGTCATCATTGTCGACCAACAATTGAGCCTTGAGTGGACTATCTGAGGAGCAGTAGTGCTAGATGATTATGTGTGGATTGACACACAAAACAATTGAATTAATCTCTCCCACAATTTGTCTATGCAAGTTACGCACACTTCCTGACTTGCAGTATGTTTGAGTATTTAAGTGCTTTAGTTTCTTAAGTGTTTAACAAAGTAAAGTGTGCAAGATTCCTTTGAGTCTGCAGCAAGCTTGAAACACATTTGCTGACTGGTATTATTTATATACTGGATATGTAATTGATTTCTTGGCTTTTGTACAGGCTCAAACTGATTTTGAGTTTTTATTTTAATGTCCAAATGATAAACGTCCTTCCATGTGATTCTGATCGATTTTAGTTATCAATTGGCTTTTTTCTTTATCACTTGCTCTTTCCTTGAGTCAATAGCGTTTCCCCTTCCAGCAAAATCAGCAAGGAATACTTATTTGCGTGAAAATCGCATAGAAAGGCGATAACCGATAAAAGATATAAAGGACTTGCGTCCTTCCCTTAAGGTTAGTTTTTATGAAGGCCATATGAAGGATAGTCGATATGTATGTACTTATGCATGTATGCACGTGCGTATGTACATATGTTTGTATGTATGTATGGATGAATGTGCACATGTGTATTTATGATTGTGTATATAATATTGCATGAATGTGTGCAAGCGTAGATTCTCGTATACCAAATGCAAATCATTTTTAATAACACCCTTCTACTCGATTCTCATGAATTCAAGGAAGGCTTGCATATTTTGTTTTTATTTTCTTTCTTCAGTCTGCTGCACTTTTATCTCACTTCTTGTTATTACTTTCTCGTTATACAGCTTTTAAACTAAACGCTGTTTATTTCTCTTGTTCTTTAAGCGTTGGAAATAAATAAGACTGTCATTACCTACTCCTTGTTATGGATCCCAATAAAATAATCAAGCGGATTTTTGGGTAAGTACCAATTAACATGTATATTGAGAATTGACATATATATATACGGCTAATTCACATCTGATCTGAGATTATCTGCTTGCACACATATTAACTGCATTTATGTATGTTTGAACGTCTGTGTGTATCTCATAGCTATATCATTTTCTATTGGCTGTATATACATAAGTGGGTTTTCGAACTGTTTTAGCGCGGGCAGATTTGTTCGCTGTCGGGATTAAAAAAGACAGAAATCCAGATACGTGCACACACACACGCAACCACACACAGACAATACACAAACACACACAGACAATACACACACACAGTCTCACCAGCCCACAATGCATGACAGGGAAAATGCAGATTAGTTTCTGCTTCTTGCATAGCCCATGCAATGGAGCACGTTGCGCATACGAGGCGTTATACGCAGCTCGCTTTGACATTTTAATTAATAACCGAGGCATGTGCAAACATGTGTGAGCATTTCGGTGTTTTTTTGTGTTCTCTTTGTGTGTGTGTGTGTGGGTGTATCTGTGTGTAAGGTTAGCTGAATATGCAAAATTTTGAAAGGCCGTCGAGGGGCTGCTGCTGCACTGAAAAATTACAATAAATATGTTGCAGTGGACTACAGTCATGGCCAGTTCGTGAATAACAAGCACTCACAGCTGCCCGCCATCCCCTTCTCCTCGTAAGACACCGTCAGCTGCTTTCCGAATGCTGTTTCTTGTATTATTTTTGAAAAAAAAAGGGAAAATGTGTAACCAGAAAGTTGGCCGCAGCTTTTTTTTATGTACCCTTACAGAGGGTACTATAATTTTGACAATAATTGTGTAACGAACGGGAGACGAAATCCTCGAAGCTATTATGTATATACATATATTCTTGATCAATATATCACTATAGGAAGAATCGACAGCAAATTGATATCTTGGTCAATCTCAGCACACACATATTCGACTCTTATTCCATATGGTACCCAGTGGAATAATCGTTCGGAAATAGAACTTTTTAAAATTGTTTATAAGCCATATGCTTGCAAGGGTATTCAATCTTCGGCTAGCTGTTTTTGCTCTCTATTTCCTTTTTTTTTTTTGACTTTTATATATTTTTTGTATTTTTTGTATAGTTGCTGGATCTTGGCGTTTTGACTGGCCTTTCGGGCCCGGAGGTAGGAGCTGCACGCTGCTAAAGCGGATTTTATTTTGGCGCTGGCTTTTATATAAGCCACCAGGCCATGTCCCTGTTGGCCCAACGGCTGCTGGCCATGCATTTGGCGTTAAAGCTGCGGCTCGTGGAACAGGGGCTTGGGGTCTGCTTGCTGGTTACGTGTGCGGGGCCAGAGATTAGCTAAGCAGAATTGACGGCCATAGAGTGTGCCTCCATGTGTGTGTGTGACTCCCCGCCTCCCTCTCTCTCTCTCTCTCTCTCTCTCTCTCTCTCGCTGTGTTTGGCGGATTGACAGTTGTGTTAAGGGCCGGCCAGGACAGACCACTAAGTGTGGGAGATCGCTTTGCCGGCTGCTGTACATGGAATTAGCCTCGTTAATAAAACGCCGGCCAAAGTGGCATTTGGGGACTTTTATGGTCGCGCTGTCTTGGCCAACACCAAAAAGTTTGGCTCGTTAAAATAAATTTCGCTCTGTTGTTAGTGTCCCATCCCCCTTGGCCCCGTTGGTTCTGTTCAGGTCCTGCCGCCCGCCCCGTTTTCACTTTCGTTTCGCATTTCGCGCTTTTTGAGTTGCGCGAAATTTACGCGCTTTTCCGCTTTTATAGCGCTTTTGGGAGCGCCCCCATTGTTTCTCGGCTTTTCCGTTTGACTTCCGTTTCCTAGCACGCTATCCTTGTGCTCTATTGTAGTCCTTGATATACTCTTCTGAAGGGTACCATAGTTAGTCACATAACTCTGCGGCTTTTATATAGGGTATTGATCAGCATGATAAAACCTTAATTAAGTTTGAGTTTGACGGTCACTGAAGGGAAACAGGACACGCAGGATCCAACTATAGATTCAAAATTGTCTTTTTTTTAAGTGTGATTTAAGTAATCTTTCCATCTTTTTGCTCTCGCTTAATTATATTTTATGGGTCTATAGGAAGAATTGACTGAAGACATCTTGTCTGTGTCTGCAAGAGTATTTGAGTTTCGGTCTGCTAAATGCTTTATTTTTCCAGTTGCAGCTGAATTACTGCCACTGAGTTACCGTAAGTTACCGAGCTGTTGACCAAGTGGGCCGCTGCTCGCAATTAAATGCCAGCCAAGTCCTCTCGGGCGAAACAATGCAGCTGATTGAGTTGCACTTGCGTTCAAAGTTTTAGCAATATTTTCGATCTGGCATCTTCGTGCAACATGACAACAGCAACTTTCACGGGCTGCCAAGCCAATCAGCAGCTACACAGCGCCAGCTGCTGCAGCAGCACGCTCTCCTGGGGGCCATGCTTTAGTCCGTTTCAGTAGTTTTCCCACACGCAACGCCCGGAGACAGTGGGGGCTGTTTGGAGGGTGGACTGACTTGCAAAACTTATAAATTGTTTTTATTATCAGGCGGCATTCCTTAGCTGCTCTTCTCGCTTGCTGGGAGCATAGTTTGTTCGGCATCTGTTAGCAGTCGCGCCATGTTTTACGATATTTTTTTTTTTTTTTTTGTCGATTTTACGTGCATATAAATGGTGGGCGGGAATTCCTTTACTTAACACATTGGCACGCCCATTAAAAATAGCTGCATGCCAGATTGCGTAAGTCGAAGGGGTATGTGTTTTGCACGCAAATTAGGTAAAAAATATAAACGAAATTTGTTTAATACTTAAATGCGAAATTCATACCTTAAATTTTATAAGATAACAAATAAAATATTTAAACATTTCCTCTGAGATTTCCATCTACAACATGCCAAACAATCAGTCAATGGATTACTCGAAACTTTTATACTCTCTCTCTTTCTCTCTCTCTCTCTCTGGAGCTTGGCAAAGCCATTGTTATGCTACGACGGCATCTGATATGAAGCTTTCCTTTCAGTTGCTCGGACTGCTGGCAACTGCTGACATTATTTAAAAAAAAAAATCCTTTTTTTTTCCTCAGCTGAACACAAAAACCGCATTTACTTTACATTTGCTCTATAAATATGTGACAGTTATTTAATGGCAATGTAATCCATCTTAATTTAAGTTGGTATACCGTTATGGATAATACGCCGAGCGGCTCGTGCTCAATGTGGTTTATTATTATTTTGTATGTGCATATATTAAACAAAAAAAACAAGGTATAAACACTGACGAGATATTAGATAGCATATTATCAATATCAATATCCGTCTTTCAAAGCTTTAGCTTGTTGAGAATTAATAATAGGTTAGATTTTATACAATTTTTATGATATTCATATTCCGAAAATTCGGAAAAATTAAAAGAAGTTTTCTCTTCCAACTTTTCCATACCACATGGCATATGTGATATTATTCCTCGACTTTATGTGAATGCTTATGCGATTTCATGCTAAAATGGACCAAATAATTTAATTATAGAAATATTTGTTTATCCAAAAAGAAACACAATTTTGCATTAATTTGTATTCACCGCAATATTTCGGCTGCGCATCGCCAACCGTCTACAGGGTATTAGAACCAAGAGACAAATAAATATTAATATTATAACAAATTAAATGAAACAATTAATTAGATATTAAAGATGCAACATTTTACATATCTGCGCTTCTTCACACGGAGATTGAAACTTAGCTATTTAACAAATGTCAGTTCCAAGAGCGCAATTTTCTGTGTCTGTTTTGTAGTTAAGTCGTTTTTTGTTTGGTGTGCTTATTATGTTATTTGTTGCATTTCCCATGTCGGTTGTTCCGGTCCCGGTTGTTGTAGTATTGTCCTTCCTGTACTATTGTTGTTGCTTCAAAGTTCGGTGTGTGGTTGCTCTTCATACAGTTGCTTAATAGTGCCGTTCTTTTGTATATTATTTAGATGTCCTTATTTGAAGTCTGATTTGTGTTAGGTTATTCTCGATTTAAGATTTGATTTTATTGTGCTGATGTACACGGTATTGCAAATATTGTTGTTGTCCCCATTATATAGAATTGTTGAAGAATTTTTGTAAAGTATTCGTAGGTTTGTGTGCTAATTTTATTTCCTGTTTGTTAGACCAGTCATAGCTCGTGAGGCATTTCGCAAATCGTGGTACATATGTTGAAGATTTGTATATTTTCATTGGTTCTGTAGACTTTTGTGTTGAGATTTGTTGTATTATTAGTAATGTATTAATTACATTCTGATCCAGAGTTTTTAATTTCGTGGCCAACTCTCTTGTAGTATACTTCTCGGGTGATAAGAGTTCAAATAAGGTATTCGTACAGAAGCTACGATAATAGTAGTTCTGATAATTGTGGCAAATATTTTGAAGATTTGAATATTTTTGTTGGTTCTGTAGGCTTTTGTGTGCGGATCTGTCGTTTTCGTTCTGCGTATCCAATTCTTTTGTAGTATATTGTGGTTCGATACGTTGTGCTGTATTTATTATCGTACTTCTGTGATGATTAGAGTTAAAGTCAGTTATTCGTCCAGAGGTTTCTTATCCCACTTAATTTTGAGTGAATCCTCAAGTCCTTAAATACTGGGCTGTCCGGTGATCCCATTGGCATTCCTGTGAATTGTCTTCGTATTACCTGCAAAGAATTGTTTCGATAGCACACCAAACGACTAAACTACAAAACAGACACTGAAAATCGCGCTCACTTGTACAGACATTTATTGAATGGCCAGCAAGTTTCAATCTCCACGTCAAGAAGCGAAGACGTGTAAGTATTGTATCTTAAATATTTAATTAATTGCTTGATTTAATTTATTTTAAGGTTAATTATTTTTTGTCTCTTTGTGTAAGTGCCCTGAGGCAAGTTGCCGACGCGCAGCTGAAACATATCTGTGAAATACAAATTAAAGCAATTGTGTTCTTTTTGGTTTGAATAAGACCCCAGACCTCGAGCCAGCTTAACAAATATTTATAACATGGAAAGGTCGCCAAA